GATGATGGAGCGTGACTTTGTAGAGAAACTCCCTCTTCTTTGCTTTGCTTTTATCTTGAGGACAAACAAAACTCACTTTAATGAGCGTGTAATTATACATTGTACCTTTTCTTTGGTGGAGTCGGATTGTCACAGCTGCTACTTGAACTGGACCATATCTCTACTTTATCACTTGCTATAATCTTCTCTCTCTCACTTGGGCTGTTGTTGTTGTAGTTTCAGTGGATTAATTTTGTTTTTGGTCATTTTAAAAATAAAATGTGGTCTTCCCGCCTTGGTTTTAGTTTGTAAAGCTACAACAGGATCCAGCAGGTGCTACTAATGATCTCAAAACCCACAGTCTCTTCCACTCTCCTACACCTACATGTACATGTACATGTACATACCTGTACACAACCTTAGTCTTAATGTAGTATATACATGTACATGTTTTTGGTAACAAGTTGAGTGCATGCAGTTTTAGATAAACCAACCGTTACACCTAGTTGTTTCATAGCCAGCTGTACCAGTTTGATGGATAAATTATTACTTGTTTCTTAACCACTAACCAGTTCGATAAACATGTACATGTACATGTACATTGGTTTTCAGACAAATCATCAATTTCTTCGTAATCAGTTTGACCAGTTTGATAAATACATGCATGATCTAGTCCTTTATGCATGTACATGTGTGTGGCATGGTTGCAGGCCTGACCATACTTACTATCCAGTAATTAATGCTACATGTTGTTTCCTCCTACTTCTACACACAGTTGGTTAACCTAAAACACTTAGCAGTAATTGGCTTGTGTGTGTTCATGTGGGCACTTTTATGATTATATTTGTACTCATTGCATATCGTTTGTACTTATTGTCTTTTTGCTCTTTCTTTTGGCTTACTGCTTGAGTGGCTGTGAGTGATATGCATGAATATGTACACATGTTTATATTGTATTAAATCTCTTTTTTGTGGCCCATTTCTTTGTTGTACTAGATCTACTATACTACAGGGTATTTTGTCAAAAATTGTTAGCAGAGAATTCTTTAATTTTATTACTTTTTTTCTGATTATACATTTTCTTATGCTGTGTGGGAAATTTAAGCTGATTCTGATCAAAATATACTTTTTTATGAGTTTTTAAAGTTGCTTCAAAACTCCACTTTCTCCCTCTGTCTCTCTCTCCCTAAGTATTTTTATTAAATAGAGTACTCTAGTTGTTTTTAATTGAATTAGTTGAAGTCATGGCATTTTCTCATCCTATTGTTATCATTGTTGCACCAATTAATAATTAATCAATAATGACATCAAATGACATCATGTTCATTAATTGATTGATAAATACGATTTTTGACCTGTTGCTAAGGATAATGTCATTTTATAGCACAAGTACATGTACTCCATTTTCACATGCACACGTACGTACATGTACATGTACATGTTTAAATTCTGTTATTATTATTATTATATATAATTAATAGCTACATGTACTACTCGTTATTATTATTATTATTATACTATATTACATGTACAAGTATATGTACATGTACATTGATGTATTAATTAATTGCGTGTGTAACATCCTTGTCTAATGCAGCTGTTTTTAATTGGTTATTCATTTCGGGATAATTACTACACGCAAGACTGTTAATGGCCAGCAATGTCCCTAAGAGGCTTTAGCATTCTTTCTCTCTCCCCCCCCTCTCTCTCTCTCCCTCTCTCTCTCTCTCTCTCTCTCTCGTTGTTGTTTTCATTCTGTTTGTCCTGAGATCGTGTGTACGTGTTTTTATGATAATTATGGAGCTACAGCTGTCTCATCTCCTTATCCCTCCTTTGCTAGCATACCGCCTCACCGAATGACTAAATAAGGAAGAACTATGCACTAGAGAACATTGTTTATGTACTTTGCACTTGTTGTAATATTCTTACCCCATCAATGCTGTGTGCCTTATAAAAATTAATAAAATAAAAATGTGTCAATTAGCACATGTGTACATGTATTCAGCTTGTTTTTGTCTCCTCTGGCATTTCCTTTAAAGTCTCTCTCGATAATTGGAGTCTCTTTCATGTT